TACTAAAGTAATTGGATTATTTGGTGAGTTGGGAAAATAAACGGTAGTTAACTTTTAATAATAATAAATGCAAGGAAATACATGTGAAATAATAATTTGAAGTATGAGTATAATTTTGATGGAAATAACAGTGTTATGGAAGAAAAGGATCTAGTTGATAAGTCTCTTAAGCCATCTAAACATAGTGCTGTTGCTAGTGGCAGGGCATAAAAGATTTTAGGTTTTATCTATAGAAGTATTGAATACAAGTCTAAAGAAACTATACTTTTATTGTATAAGTTGGTGGTGAGGCCACATTTGGAGTATTGTGTTTAGTCTTAGGCTCTTTAACTTAGGAAAACATTGAATTGTTGGAAAGGGCTCAGAAGGTGGAAAGGTCTCCGAAGTTGTTTTCACTTGAAAAAAGAACAGTTAAGGGGATCAAATTGATGCACGATCTTTTTTGTTATTAATAGTGCGAATGACAGGACAAGTGGCCACAAATATAAATTTTGGCAGGGTAGGAGTCATCTCCATCTAAACCATCTTTAGTTTTCTAATAGGGTGGTTGATCTTTGGAATGTGTTGCCTTCATATATGGTGGATGCAGTTAATTTATGGCAGTTTAAGGGAAAGATTGATAAATATTTGAATGATATATATAAGGGCTGGCTTTGAGCATTTTGTTCTTATTTTAAAGTATATTTTAGCAGATTGGATGACCTAGATGGCCACCCAGTTCCTTTTTATCCTTAAATTAACCAAGTACTAATTATATGGCATCACTAGTTGTGTTAGTGGACAAGAAGCATGGACCTACAAGGTTCTGCGACTATGTTAAGGTGAATGAAGCTATAAAAAAGGAACTTATCCCACTGCTATGGATTGACTCTACTTTGGATGCTTTACCAGAGTCATGATGGTTTTCATCATTCAATCTGAAGAGTAAATACTTGCAGGTGCAAGTTTATGAAGCAAGTATAGAAAAACAACCTTTACTGTATGAAATGAGTTGTAGTAATTTGTTGCATTACCATTTGGATTATGTTATGCACCTGCTATATTTCACTGGTTGATAATGGAGTGAATTTTCTCTCTGTACTAACCTAGAATGACATAATCACACATGGAAAGACCTTCAGTGATTCTTGTGATGTACTAAGGAAAGTACTCGATCAGTTGAGGAAAGCATACCTTAAGCTGATTGCTAAAACGTTTGAACTGTTCCATCAACTAGTGAAGTTCTTAGGACAAGTAATCGATGGAGAGAGAGAATTTATACAGCCAATTACGACTGAATTGGGATAAAAATTGGCCAACACAATGAACCTTATGTGATTAAGGTAATAGCATTTCTTGGACTGCACTCTAATTATTGCCATTTTATCAAATCATTCTCAGGCATAGTTCATTATTTACACAAACTACTTTGTAAAGCAAACAGGTTTTATTAGACTGCTGGTTGTGAGTAAGCATTCAACAAACTGAAGAATTAGTCACTACTCCTGTATCAGCATAGCCATCTTTTGAAAATTCACTTCTAGTATTAGATACAGTTACCAGTGCTTTTGCTGTGGAAGCACTATTCTCATAAATAGAACATAGGAAAGAACATGGCCTATTTTAGCAAGGGCATAAATGTTGAGAAAGACAATACTGTGCAACTTAAAAAGAGCTATAAAGTATTATTTAAATTTTGACTAATTGCTATAATTATTTACATGGACAAAAGTTTACACTCTGGACAGATCATGTAGCATTAAATGGACTGCTGAATATATGCATTCCAAAAGACTAATGTGTTAGATATACATGACTATTTCTATTCAAGTATAGTGTGAGTGTTAAATTTAGTTATTTTTAAAAGTCATAGTTGATCGCAGATTTGTTACATAACTGTGTATGCATAATAGGCAGCACCCTTAGGGTTAACTGTTTTAGTTTCAATTGTACTGCCAATTACACCAAATTTATTTAGGATTGCAGTGGCGATTGGAGCTCACAAATCACTAACTCGAGGTAATTTACAGTTATAATAAAGAAATGGATTCCAAGACTAACATTGAACAAAATATAACAATATTTATTACATCTTTCCACATAGTATACACATTTAATATCAATACTTAAACAAACATTTACTTTACTTTTCACCTTTCAGATAATAAACTTCCTTTTAACTACATTAATGGATCAAGAGAGATAGCAATTCTATATTTACAACAGAGTTGGGCCAGTATACTTTTGGAGTTGGAGATCTTTAGGCTCATAGGAGCAAACTTATTTTCTTTGTATTCTGTCGACCTTCCAAATAATGTTTTTAACTACCCACAAGTAATTTTAACACTTTATTGGTCGATTTGTGCAACTTCCCAGTCTAGTCCAAAACCATAACCAAAACTCTCAAGTGATTGGTTACTGTTATGGTGAGTTAGCTGGTTGCCTTTCCACTTGTGCTAGTACACTAGTATTATGTAAGGAATATATCATCAAAGTAACTTGTAGCTTCCACTATACTAAGGAGTTGGCGTCAGTAATTAATCACTGCCGATCATTTATGCTAGCGTTTTTCTCAACATCTCTGACGTAGCTTCATTTTTTTATAATTCTTAAGTCGAGATTCACTCACGCATGATTCTCAATATCACTTAACCATCTAGCTGTATTTTCCTAGCTCTTGAGCTTATTTCGTGATGCAGGCGTCTTTACTTACGCCATTTCTTCATGTATATGTTCACTTAAAAACTCAGAAAATTATTATAACTTCTTTCTTAAACTCTTTTAAAATGCTAAAATACTGAAGTCATTGTAAAATTCCCTCAAAAATATTCAATTGCTTCATGTGAATCACACATTGTGCAGTTCAATTAATGTAAATTGGTGCTTGTTGTATTATTGCATCACGTTGTTAGTACCTTCTAAATTTTTATCATAATTTTGATTGAGTATTATTGCATCATAATATCTCGTACTGTGTTGATACTTCTAGGTCTCGGTCAGTCTATAAATATGGGTACAAAATGTAGTTCAAGTTGAGATAAAGGATAGAATACAAAGTTAGTTAGATAGCTATTTAGATCTAGACTGTGATTGTGAGCTTAGCCATAAAGAGTGTATAGTGGTGTTTTTTAAAGTGAAATTATTGCACATTGTATTGTAACAACAGAGTAGAGAAGAATAATTTGTCTTATCATGTGTGTTCTAAAGTAATTGAACAAACGTGTGTAGACTTTTGACGAAAAGGGACAATTATTTAAAGTTCTGCATGCAACTTTGGTAACCACCACTGTAACTTAAGTGAAATTATCACTTAACTGTATTGTAACAACAGAGCAGAGGAGAATAATTTGTCTTGTCAGTTGCATTCTAAAGTAACTGAACCAACCTGTGTGGGCTTTGATGAAAAGAGACGATTATTTAAAGCTCTGGATACAACTGTGGTGATTAACTGTGTAATGAACATTTGTATATACAGTTGCATATCTGGTTGTTTGTTAATTTCTGGTATACATTCTTCCCAAGGAACTTCAGCGATACAGGTCCTTTCTTAAATAAAACTAGTTTATTCTTTCTCAATACGACTTTGCAATACACAGAATTTCCACTGTCACTTTAATTTAAAAACACGATATAATTCACAACGATTCACGCACTTTACTCAATTATTTGTCTTTATCTCTGCCTGTCTGCAATTATCTTTTATGCCATCACTTCATTTGCCGGCTAAGACTAGAGTTGCCACGAACAAACATGATCCTTCTAGAATCTCATGATGTGTTACTAGCGTCACGGGACTTCTGCTGTCGTAACACTGCCCCTTCCTTAGTATTGTTCATCCAGAACAATAGCCACTTACATTAAACCAATAGATAATTAACAATAACTTGATTAAATGTACAGAATTTACAAATACAAAATTAAAATACAACAAAGTCTCTTAATTTACAGGACGTTTCTTCTTTCATACTGGTCTCCATCTCATTGGCTTCTGCTTCACGTGGGGTTCATCAACTCC